ATTTCTAATGTTTTTGCCGAATGTTCCCACCAAAGTGGCTGTAGTTTGCAGAAAATATTCAACATAATTTCGTATGTCACCGTAACCTCTGCTTAATTTTCGGTGATTTTAGGGTGTTAGCCGTATTTTACAACCGATGTTTAGATGTTATGTCCATAGAGGGTACCATCATTGCTGGAATAACTTCATCAGATAACCACCATCCTTCGATTTCTTCAACTTCCCTTAATCAATATTTTTTTCATTTCATTAATAAAAATATATAATTTCTTCTTTCCTTCCTTTCTTTACCCAAATGGGAATGCGAAAATAATTGACTGTTTTTTTAAATGACTTAAAGTTAATTTGAGCAATACAACGACGTTGTGTGTGTGGCGCATTAAATACTTAAAAATAATTCGTAACTATCCATCAGTATCTGATTAAATTGCTTGCAATTTGTTATGGTAATAATCGAGTATTTCTTCTTTTCATGTGGAAAACACAAATGAATGACGTTAGCCAAAATAAAAAGAAAAGAAGATATGAGAAGCCCTCAAAAAACGTAACAACCAAAAACATCTGCATGTAACAAGATTTTCAGGTAACAACACAGTCACGTAGTAAATACCCCTCCTCCCCACTTAAAATAGATGGGTAGGAATGCATGTTGTTGACCACACAGATACGTACACATCAGAATGAATTAATGGTATACCACATGAGGGAAAAATGCAGTCTTTGAGAGAAATCAAGTGGGAGTATGTATGTACGTATGTGCATATCCAAAAAAAGTAACTTCCAAGAAAATCCAAGAAATATTTGAATATATGTGTATGTTACAAGGTAGAGGGTTTTTTTGAGAAACTGTAAAAACCTCTACTTTATTATGAAACATGCAAAATAACAGCATAGCATTCAAATGTTTCAAGTGCTATCATGAAAAGTCGTCCTTTATTATGTAAAGGTGTTTTTCGAGAATCTCTTGATGTTGGAATTATTCATGTTTGTTGGGGCATTGGCCAGTTGTCTTCACCATTATACCATACTTTGAAGTACAAATTTTAGGAAGTCATGTAACCAAAAAGACAAATTAAAAATTTAATATTCACAATAACTCAGAGATATTGTCAGCGTCAGTTTTTATGGAGTAATATTAAAATATCAATATAGATTTTCCAAAAAGTTATTCAATACTAGATAAATTATTCAGTGTAACCAGACTTTACAAATACTAAAAACCGGAAAGTAACTCTGTATGACGGGTAAAAAGGGATCTAAATTACTGTAAGGAGTTGTTAATAAATTGTAAAATTAATTACAATTCGAGCGAATTTGATTTCAACAGCAAACGTATAAAATATTTTTCCATGATATATCATCTTATGTTATAAAGTATCTCAGCCATAACATAACGATTGTTCGCTTTTAAGTGCTCAAGAGTTGAAAGTTTATCCGGTTTTTGTAAACCTTATCTTCTCTTTAAACACGTCTGAATCATCATATTTGTAGTAGGTTTTGATAATTTTTATGCTTTGTGAGATAGTTATGTGATTCATTCGTCAATAGCAGACTTTCTTACTGAAACCATTCTCAGTTTGATAAAATCGATTTTTTTATTTTAAGTGATTATTTATTCTCTTACGAGTCGAGCTTGATGATCTAAGTTTTGCAATGAAAAGGAAAGCCAGGAGAAGAACCTACGTACCCACCATTATGCGGCAAAATCTGCTTTGAAAAGGACTGTTCCTAGAGTGAAGACAAATGTCGAACTTTGACAAATTTGTATTTAATTCGCATACGCAGGTTTCGCATCAGGGCGGAATAAATACAAGTTATCAACGCACGACCTTTGTAAAGCCACATAGCCCAATATGCCTGATGAGCCGCTTAACCAACGGCGGAACGCGTCGCATAATGGTGGGTACGTAGGTTCTTCTCCTGGCTTAACTTTTCATTGCAAAACATAGATCATGTCTGTTTTGATAAAGATCGGTCAATATTTAGCAGGTCAAATGGACCCTGACTTTTGTGTGAAAAATTACAAAATTTGTATTCCATGGCGAATATAGTTACTCCCGAAGGACATAGATCCGAGAAGTTGATAGTATATCCAAGAGGAGTGGTTGACCTTTAAATTAATACCAATTACATTGTCGTAGGTACGCGGATGTGGGAGTTACACTTAAATATTTACAGGTGCTTACGTATTCAGATATAATTTAGTAACGCTTTGATATTTTTCATGAGGATCCATGTATGGTCAAGGACAACGCCTATAATTTTCGGTGATGATCAGATAATAAATTTGGGATGAACTGGACCGAGAACTTAATAGAAAGCCGAACATCGCAACACAACCCACGGTGAAGGAATATGGCCAAGAAATTAGAAGGGTTGTACTGAATATTAGTAATATTGGTTGACCTCTAATCGGTCAAGAGTGTGCAAAAAATCGCGAAATATTGCCCATGCTCAGAATATAGAATCACAGAAAGTTAGATTTTCGTGGAAGTTGTGTAGGGTATCATATGGTCGGCCCCGTCCGGCTATACTGCTCCGCTCACTGGTTATATTTTTAATTACTGCAATAAATGTGCACTTTTGTTGATTTTTTACATATTAATTTTAATGATTGTTTCGGAATCGTAATTTACTCAAAAATATCAACAACAAGAAAAAACATCGCTAAGTTCGCCTGAGACGAGCTTTTTATACTCTCCACAATGAGGTGCACAGTCAAATACTTAAAATCGATCGGGACTATTATATGGTTGTTATGCCATGATAAATTACTGCCAAAAGAAAATGATATATCAAACTACAGAAAATTTGGGCTAGGGCCTTATACATACCGAAATCCGAAAATTGTCGAAAATTGGCAGTACAGTTATATGGGACAGGGGACAGATTCGACACCCAATGAGAATATCAAAATATAACCAATTCGATTGATAAACGTACGAAAAAAATCCCAATATACCGAATAATGGGGGTAACGTAATATGAGGGCTACTCCGAAAATTAGACCAATATTGATAATTTGTGGTAGGGAGCTTTGTACCCAATATAAGACCCTTAAAAAGTGGACCAATATTTATAATTTTTTGTTTGAAAGTGTGCTACACCATAAATACCTAAAATACCAAATTACAGTCAATTCAGCCAATCCTTAAAATAAAAAGTGGACATAGAGTTATTAGGATCTTGTTTAGGTCTGAAAATGCGATCAAAATACCCAAAGTCCGATAAAGTGGTCAGTTTGATCATTTTAGTGGAGAGATTTGGCACCAAATAAGAGCCCAAAAAGTACACCACAGGCAGCGTTGAATGCGATCCACTGGACACTCTGAATAAATTCCAAGCGGCCAGATATGCTCTGAGGCTCCGAGAAATGGATGCCTGGAAATCGCTGAACTATGGTCGGGCTACACCATATCCCCAACATAACGCCAGGTTGCGACTTCTTGAGGAGAAATAGTCACTTTAGTGACTATGTTCCCTCTCACAGAGAATTTAATGATATCAAAGTAGAGTTTCCTAGTAGGTAATCCTGGACTAGCGACTCCATACTTCTGCCAGATGTCATTTTTCACAGACGGATCAAAGATGGAGGATGCCACTGGTGCAGGCGTTAACTAAAGGGAATTATAAATATATAACTCATATAAACTTAACAATCTTTGTAGCGTTTTTCAAGCAGAAATCCTTGCAATCACGAAAGCGGACGAGATAGTCAAAACACTTTCTGTCGATAATACGCGACCGGTGACCCTCAAGGCTTTGAAGTTGTGCACTATAAACCCAAAAGCAGTTCTTGATTGCAAGTCCGCGCTGCATGATATACGACGGACAGATAATTTGTGTTGGGTTCCAGGACATAGTAACATAGAAGGGAAGGAGATAGCCGACAAGCTTGCTCGAAGGGGTCATAATCGTCCAATCTTCCGATTGAGAGATATGTGCAACCAACCATTGGCTATTTCATTGGCAAATAGCCAATTCTACAGCGAGGTAGTCGGTAACAGATGGCCAAGAGAACCTGGTTGCAGAATCTCAAAAGCAATCTGGCCTGAATTCTCTCGCCAAAGAACTTCTTCGCTGCTGGCACATAATAAGAGAGAAATCAAAATCATTGTGGGGATCATAACAGGTCACTGCAAGATTAGATCTCCCACTTCGGAGAGGATTACTGTCGTTTATGTGAGAACGAAGAAGAGCTAGTAACAATTGAACATATCCTCTGTAAATGTTCATCGCTGACCGGCAGAAGACATAAACAGTTTGAAAGATATGAAATTAATAATCTAGCCTTCTTCCCTAAAATAGAACCCAACCAGATCCTAGGATTTGTAAAAATCTGACATGACTAAAATAACCATCTCTACTCTCTCCTTCTCCCACTATATTTTTCTTGCTGTTCTACACTCTCTCTTCCATTTCACTTTGCAGGTAAAAAGGATGATCACAATGGACAATCGTCTCCGAGAGTACGGATGTTACTAACAACCGTACATCCCTAACCTAACCTTGGGTCAGAAATGATTATTTCGATGAGTTACAAAAGGCAAAACAAACATAATATATCCCACATACTATGGCGGGGGTTTTTTTAAAAAATATTTTTATTATGACCCTTTTTTAAGTTCATAATTACAATATTTTTTAAAACCCCAGACATCTTACATTTTCTTAAAAACATATATATTTTTGAATCAAAGCAGTCCATAAGAATAAGTGTTTTTTAAAAGAAAAAAAACAAGAAGTCATATACATAGTCCAATTAATATAACTTTTCTTCTGCAATAAATTAAGGCATCATGGCGTATGTGTTATGCCTTATAATTATGTCTGTGCAACATACGCCCTCATGACCATTTCAATAGATTTAAATTAAATTTGTTTGTGTTTAATTTTGCCATAACAACACAAAAAGTTAACATTAAATTGTAGCTTTTTACATTTTTACATTTCAATTCATATTTCCCAGTCATACACATTCAATGAATTCAAAAACTTACCCTCCAAAAAGAGACCATAAACATATACACCTTCCTGTGGATACTCGGTGATATCCTCTTTGTTGTAGCGAGTTATTTGGTTTTGTAATACGACCGAGTCAAGTGCCCATCCTTTATGAGCTCGTGTTACTTCCTGCAGGCACCAGAGCCAAGCGGCACATTAGAAACAAAGCACCCAAAATGCCGGCACATGTTGTGTGTGAAGATAAAACAGGACACAATACACGGTATTTACATTATTATGTTGATGACGATGGCGACGACGTGCATGGGCGGGAGTGAGTACGTGGGTCGGTGTTTAGGAAGTCAAGTTTTCCAGCCGCCATAAAGCAAAAGGCCACATAGAAATAAGACACAAAAAAAAAACAGAATGAAACGCACAAAAAGTCAGTTACACAGTAAAATAGACATAAAAGCAAAGAGAAGAAGAAACATCCATTAAAATGAAATAAAACAATAGAAATTGTAGTTGTAGATCTTCATAAAAGGCATTGTTATGAAGTCGTAAATTTTCATACGTGTTAAAGACCAGGACATTTCGTTAAAGGTAACATCCTTAATGTTATTTTCTGCACTGTGTAGTTGTATTCGGTTGCGTGTGATGACAATATTCGATTATGAAAAATGCATGGGAATTTAAGGCATTCAAAATTAAAGAGATTTGTTTTTGGATAACAAAATATTTCCCATAATGCAATTTAAATTATTCCAAAGATGATTTAAACAAATGCTGAGTATTCTTGATTTCACAATAGCCATATAAAGCCAAAAGGGGAGAAGGAGAAACTTGGGCCGATAATTGATTATAAAAACTAGTACCAAAACATATAATAAATTAGTATTAGTTAAACATTTTTACAGTTTTGTAAAAAAAGTCAAATTCGTCGAATGTGCTCTACCCGGGGTAGCTTCTTGGCACCATAGTCATAGACTGGTAAATATCACCGCTATCAGTCTGTTTGAAATTCAGATTTTCTAAAGGTTCTATTTTGTTTTAATATGCGTCTCAAAGTTTGACTTTTAAGGCTATATTTTCTAGCGGCGGACGTTGACGTCTCAAGGTCACACACACACTATAAGAAATAGCTTTATTATATCGCACTTTCGCCAGTATATGTAATTTCGTCTTATATATGTAATTTCGAACCATATTAAAGGATTATTTTTAAAGACAAACTCAGAAATATTTGAAGGAAATAATATTGCACTATCTGTATATGGCCGAATGCGCTGCACTTTAAAATGCCGAATCTACCTTGAATATACTTTTTATAGTTTTTCCATTTTTTCTATCTTGTAAAAATATTATATTTTTAATTATTTTTATAATAATACCTACTTCATAATAAAATTGCCTTAAAATATGAAAAGTGTTATATACGAAATACTTACGAAATATAAATAAGCTTATTAGCTAGAGATTTCAAACTTTGTGACAGTTATTTATTTCGATATTTGATATCTATGTATCGAAACTAGTGACGTACGGTCAGAGCTTCATATCGAAAACACGATTGCCGAAGGTGCTGACTATATGATGCCTTCACCAGATTTTTTCGGTCATGAATAATTTGTCAGTTTCCATTACGATGATTGATCTTTGGTTTCCACGACATAATCATATCTCTATGATTCGTCGCCAATAATAACCATAGAAAAATTTGGGTAAAAAATCGAAATTTAAGTGAATATTCGGCAGAATATTTATCATGCATAAATAAACCAGTAAGGAAAGTAGTAAAGTCGGACGGGGCCGACTATATGATACCCTTCACCTCATTGGGTATACTCAACAGATGAATCCTAACTGACGTCCAATTTTTGAAGGACCATTAACATGAAAATGGATCCACAAACATGTCATTTTGCAATATATGCTAAATTTTTCATTTGCTCAGATATAGGTTTGCTTCTTACAATGGGACAAAATTATGTAAATCAATTTATTATAGCTATAAGCTATATCGAAATCTAAACCGATTTCAACGAAACTTGTCATAGGTTATGTTTTTGAGTTCTTGGTGCATCATTTACTTAAAATCGGGAGAAAATATATATAGGAGCTCTATCCAAATCTGAACAGATTTCAAAACTTTCCACCTGGCTCGCTATACTAAATTCAGTACATTGTGCAAAATTTTGTAGCAAACGGCCTAATTTTGGGTCTTTGGGCCAACTATTATTTAATCTCTGATGAAACTATATATGGGAGCTATATCTATTACATTAAATCGGAGAAAATTTCCATTAAATGGGACCAAAATATATATGGGAGCTATATATAAATCTGGACTGATTTTCAGGAAACTTAACACACATCATTATAAACCTAATTCAGTACGATGTGCCAAATTTCGTGCAAATCGAAAGATATATAGAGACTTTGATACACTATTTACCTTAAATCGGACGAAAATATATATGGGAGCTATATATAAATCTGAACCGATTTTCAGAAAACTTAACACACATCATTCTAGATCTAATTCATTATCCTGTGCCAAATTTCGGGCAAATCGAAAGATATATTGGGACTTTGGTACACCATTTACATCAAATCGGACGAAAATATATATGGGAGCTATATCTAAACCTGGACCGATTTTCAGGAATCTTCACACACATCATTCTAGATCTGATTCAGTACGCTGTGCCAAATTTCGGAAAAATCGAAAGATATATAGGGTTGGTACACAATTTACATTAAATCGGTCGAATATATATATATATATATATATATATATATATATGGGAGCTATATCTAAATCTGAACCGATGTTCTCCAATTTCAATAGGGTTCGTCCTTGGGCCAAATAAGTGAACTGTGCCAAATTTCATACAAAGTACAGGTCGCATTTATACCTGTACTTTGTTAACAAAAATACATGGACGGACAGACGGATAGACGGACATGCGTAAATCGACTCAGAAAGTGATTCTATGCACATTCTGAAAAGGAATCATGTGTCTATCTCATTTTCTTTTGCCTGTTACAAACATATGCACAAAGACATAATACCCTGTACCACATTGTGGTGAAGGGTATAAAAATGTGAGTATCAATTTTACCCTACAAAATGTTTAAATATATAACGCAACGCTCAATTGGATCGAAGAGAGTATATAAGTATATTACGTCATATAATTTTTGTTTCAACCATAAATATATATATGTACATATATTTTACTATAAATCGATGAAATGCGTTTTGTGCTCCTAACATTTACATACAAATTGTCTACATTTTTTATAGCAATATGTTGACATACGGGTATGTTCTGGAACTCACGGCGTGTTCTTTTCACTTTACACATACACTTCACCTCAGAAGCTACCTCCTGTTCTGCTTCTCACGTGAATTGAAATTTTGAACTGCGACAAAAATAAACGTCGACATGGTACTTTGCAGAAATAGTGTTGCCATTCAATATAAACTGTATTCGTTTTTAACATTGTTTCTGTAATTTTTTAGTAATTTCGTTAATTTTAACGACAATTTTATTATTATTTTTTAATATTTTTTTATTCGCAACATAAAATATATGTATGAAACCTCTGTAATAACATTAATTTCTTGATTGATTTAAGGGGAACATTTGGTAACCCTATCTTTTTCGGCCTTACTTCAAATCAGTTGTTTGTGTCAAGCAAGAAATTCAATTGAAGAAAATTTAAGACAAACCTTAGTATCTATTTAAAATTTGTTGTTAATGGTGTTTCATGTTCATTTTGTGATTTTAAACAAATTATACGCAATAATAACAAATCAATCTATCATAATGTGCGTTTTTTATTTCAAAAAAGATTTTCTTTTATATGAAAAAACAGGAATACACCCGACTCTCACTATGGAAATGTAAGTGTAAAGAATACACCTCAAATGGGTGTAAAGTGTGTTACAGAACACCTCGGCGTGTGTTCGATACACTTCTGCCGTTGAAGTGAATGCCAGAACATGCCCGATAAATTGAAACACTGAACTTTATTCCGGTATCAGGCTCTTTGTATGTCTGTTGCCTGCCATGGGTTGGGTGACACTAATTTCTTCATATACAACTATGTTGTGGCCCACAAAACTATATTATCTACATATTTTATTACAAGATTGGCGATGGCGTTATTTCCTTCATTACCTTGTGTTCGGAGTTCTTTCACCTGTCTTAAGTAAAAAATAAACAGGCAAAGGTTAAATGGAAAAACGTGCGGAATATTTATTGTCAATACATTGTACAGCAACTACCTATTGAGCCGGTTGTACTGTTTTATGGCAATGACAGCAACTGCAACAACAACAACTGAACACCCACAAGGTAATAACACCTAACGGCGACCCGTAAAATAATATTTTTCCATCCCTTGGGATAGAGGCTATATAACGGCAGATGAGAAGGTGGCAGTATTACAATATTAATTTCGTTATAAAAATTCTGTCTGAAAAGGGCAAGAGGAAAATTTAAGAATGAAAATTTAAGGTTTTAGCCAAGAGAGAAAGTATTAGCCAAGAGATACTTGACATATTTTATGATATAGTTTTATGGAAGAGATTTGATTGGTATGATCATCAAAACCAGTAGTTCCTACAAAACTCTAACACTCTACAAATATTAGAACCAAATCGAGCGTAATGTAAAATATATTACGTGTTAGAAGTACGCTAGTTACGTTATGCTATTGTGCAACTTATGTTCATTCGGGCAGAGTCGTTTGCGTATAATGGGAAAAATTTATTTAAATCGATTTAGAGCAAACTTGATACAAGCTATTCGGTATACTGCACTGTTAAGTTTATTCTCAAGCAGACAGTTTGCATCTGCACCAATTTCAACAAAATACAATAACGCAATTTTAGTCTCAAATTGATTCTTTGTGCGAAATTTCGTCACATAAAATCGGACGAAAATATATATGGGTGCTATATCTAAATCTGGACTGATTTCATCGAAACTTGCTAGAGATTTATTTATATTTACTTCAGTGGATTTTACAAAATTGTGTGCCAATCGGACAAACTTTGGTCTATAGTGCAAAGTTTACATCAAATCGGAAGAATATATATATATATATATATATACGGTAGCTACATCTAAATCTGAACAAATTTTTACGAAACTTAACACACATCATTCCAAATT